CTCATTTCTGAGCAGCGCACTGTAGTACTGAGGTTATCCTGACAGTTCGAGACTCTGAGCTTAATAAACAGTGTAATACTGGGTTTGGTCTACTCGGCTTCTTTATGACTGGTTGTGAGGATTGAGTGGAGTGAATTGCACTTTCAGTGTACCCTGTCATATCGCATGGTCAAGTCTTCCGCTGTGTTTATCTCTCCCTGTGCGGTGTGATACTCCTATCCTCTCCCCTTCCTTCTGTGTATGTATGGGCATACCTGGAAGTCTATGTGTGCGAGTGTTGGTCACAGACAACAAACAACCAGAATCATAACAGTTGGTATCGGAGCTATTGGATCCAGACTCTTGGTTGGTTGGTTGGTTGGTTGGTTGGTTGGTTGAATTGTTGGTTGATTGCTTGAATTGGTTGGTTGGTTGGTTGGTTGCTTGAATTGTTGGTTGATTGCGTGATTGAGTGAGTGATTGGTTGGTTGGTTGATTGATTGATTGATTGATTGATTGAGTGAGTGAGTGAGTGAGTGAGTGGGTGAGTGAGTGAGGGAGTGAGGGAGTGAGTGAGTGAGTGAGTGAGTGAGTGATTGAGTGATTGAGTGATTGAGTGATTGATTGATTGAGTGAGTGAGTGAGTAAGTGAGTGATGGAGGGAGGGAGGGAGGGAGGGAGGGAGGGAGCGAGCGAGTGAGCGGGAGCAAGCAAGCGATTGATCGGGTGAGGTAGCAAGCGGTTGAGTGAGTGACGGAGCGAGTGATTGAGTGAGTGAGTGAGTGAGCGAGAGATTGAGTGAGTGAGTGAGCAAGCGATTGAGTGAGTGAGTGAGTGAGTGGGTGAGTGGGTGAGTGAGTGAGTGGGTGAGTGAATGTGTGGGTGCATGCATGTGTGCACGGGTGTGTGCATGCATGTGTGCGTGCGTGGGTGGGTGCGTGCGTGCATGGGTGGGGGGCCGGGTGGGTGAGTGGGGGATGTGTGAGTAGGGGGGTGGATGGGTGGGGGGGTGAGTGAGCGAGTGTGGGGGTGAGTGGGTGAGTGAGGGGATGAGTAGGTGAGGGGGTGAGTGAGTGAGGGGGTGGGTGAGTGAGTGAGGAGGCGAGGGAGTGAGGGAGCGAGCGAGTGAGGGAGCGATGATTGAGCAAGTGAGTGAGTAAGTGAGTAAGTGAGTGAGTGAGTAAGTGAGTGAGTGAGTGAGTGAATGGGTGAGTATGTGCGTGGGTGGTGCGTGCATGCATGGGTGGGTCCGTGCGTGCGTGCGTAGGTCCGTGTGTGGGTGGGTGAGTGGGTGAGTGAGGGGGTGAGTGGGTGAGTGAAGGGGTGAGTGGGTGAGTGATGGGGTGAATGGGTGAGTGATGGGGTGAGTGGGTGAGAGCGGGGGAGGGTGAGTGGAGGGGTGAGCGAGTGAGTGAGGAGGTGAGGGAGTGAGTGAGGGGGTGAGTGGGTGAGTGAAGGGGTGAGTGGGTGAGTGAGGGGTTGAGTGGGTGAGAGCGGGGGTGGGTGAGTGAGCGAGGGAGCGAGTGAGCAAGCGAGGTGAGTTAGTGAGCGAGCTAGGGAAGGACCGAGTGAGTGAGGGACGGAGCGAGTGAGGGAGGGAGCGAGTGAGTGAGTGAGTGAGTGAGTGAGTGAGTGAGTGAGGGAGGGAGGGAGGGAGCGAGGGAGGGAGGGAGTGTGGGAGGGAGCGAGGGAGCGAGGGAGCTATGAAGCGAGGGAGGGAGGGAGCGCGGGAACGAGGGAGCTATGAAGCCAAGGAGCGAGGAGCTACGAAGCGAGGGAGCGAGGAGCTACGAAGCGAGGGAGCGAGGGAGCGATTGAGTGAATGAGTGAGTGAGTGAGTGGGTGAGTGGGTGAGTGGGTGAGTGCGTGCATGGGTGGGTGAGTGTGTGCGTGGGTGCGTGCATGCGTGGAGGCGTGGGTGGGTGAGTGGGGGATGGGTGAGTGGAGGGGTGAGTGGAGGGGTGAGTGAGTGAGTGAGGGGGTGAGTGAGTGAGTGGGTGAGTGGGTGAGAGTGGGGTTGGGTGAACGAGGGGGTGGGTGAGAGTGGGGTTGGGTGAGCGAGGGAGCGAGTGAGTGAGGGAGGGAGGGAGCGAGGGAGGGAGTGAGGGAGCGAGCGAGGGAGGAAATGAGGGAGGGAGCGAGGGAGGGAGTGAGGGAGCGAGCGAGGGAGGAAGCGAGGGAGGGAGCGAGGCAGGGAGCAAGGGAGGGAGCGAGGGAGTGAGCGAGCGAGCAAGCGAGGGAGTGAGCGAGTGATTGAGTGAGTGAGGGACCGCGAGCGAGGGAGGGAGCGAGGGAGCGAGTAAGGGAGGGAGTGTGTGAGGGAGGGAGGAAGTGATGAGTGAGGGAGGGAGGGAGCGAGGGAGGGAGGGAGTGTGGGAGGGAGCGAGGGAGCGAGGGAGCTATGAAGCGAGGGAGGGAGGGAGCACGGGAACGAGGGAGCTATGAAGCCAAGGAGCGAGGAGCTACGCAGCGAGGGAGCGAGGGAGCGATTGAGTGAATGAGTGAGTGAGTTAGTGGGTGAGTGGGTGAGTGGGTGAGTGCGTGCATGGGTGGGTGAGTGTGTGCGTGGGTGCGTGCATGTGTGGAGGCGTGGGTGGGTAAGTGGGGGATGGGTGAGTGGAGGGGTGAGTGAGTGAGTGAGGGGGTGAGTGAGTGAGTCAAATGGTGAGTGGGTGAGTGGGTGAGAGTGGGGTTGGGTGAGCGAGGGGGTGGGTGAGAGTGGGGTTGGGTGAGCGAGGGAGCGAGTGAGTGAGGGAGCGAGGGAGGGAGCGAGGGAGGGAGCGAGGGAGGGAGTGAGGGAGCGAGCGAGGGAGGAAGTGAGGGAGGGAGCGAGGGAGGGAGTGAGGGAGCGAGCGAGGGAGGAAGCGAGGGAGGGAGCGAGGCAGGGAGCAA